CTCCTTAAAGTCATCTTACTGGCACTACTGTGAATGTTTCTCAAACCTCTGTCTCCAGCATCGTCCCCTCCCTTGCCCTCCAGTCTTAGTTTCTGAGAGCTATATTGCCACTTAAATACAAAAATTCTACCGTCAAATTCACATTTTCCCCCTTACATATCACACTCAAACCATCAACAAATCGGGTCTATTTTCCAAATAACATCCAAACGCTCACCCCACTCTCTCTGCTTCCGTCCTGGTCCGAGCCACCACCAACTCTTCCTGCACTGTGGTAGTGGCCTCCTCACTGCTGTCCATGCTTCCACCCTTCCCCCACCTCACTCTCCTGGACACAGCAGAGTGGCGTTTTTAAAATGGATGTCACATCCCGACACAACTCTGCTCAAAACCCTCCAGTGGCATAATTTCTCTATAAGAAAGTATGCTATCCCACTTCTGTCACTGAGTTTGCTAGGGAAAGCTACTTAACATCTCTGAGCCTCTATTACCTCATGGTTAAATAAGGACAGTAATTTTCTTACTGATGTATAGGGAATATACATGCTCATTGCAAAACACATAGCTGAGTGTAAAAATTGTACTTAATTCTGCTGATCTCCAGGGAAGGCTTGTGTGGCAATGAAATGAGCCATATGATGTCCTATCAAGCTCAAGAATGAAGACAGATCTGCAGGGTTAGGTGGTAACTGAATCTCAGAGCATAACCAATCTGTGATTCTAAGAAAGAGCCCATGAGGATATAAATGTAAGGCAGACCCACAACCAAAAGATCCGTCCAAGACAGAGATTGCTGATTGGGCTCAATACTCAAGATCCAGGGCATCTACCCGGATGGTAGAGTGCAAGCAGTCACCAATATGTTAAGTAGATGGAATGATCAGGTCTGGGAGGTCCAACTTTTTTACTTCAGTAAGTGAACCCTGTGATTTTAGTTGGACACACAGACACTCAGAATTGATTCTATCACCCAGCTTCCTTGGCATCTGAGTGTTCTGTTTTCTTGGGATGGCAGCAGAGGGATGTATGTAACTTTGGGGCTGTAACTTTAAACAAAAAAAGCATGTCTTCCAACCCCTCTTCTCCATTTTGCTGCTAAATAGACATCTTGGATCTTGATAAGGACCACACCCTAAGATAGTAGAGAAAATAAGACAGCAAAAGGTTGGGTCTGGGGACTTCCCTGGTGGCGCAGTGGTAAAGAATCCGCCTGCCAATGCAGGGGACACAGGTTCGATCCCTGGTACGGGAAGATCCCACATGCCACGGAGCAACTAAGCCCGTGCACCGCAACTACTGAGCCTGGGCTCTAGAGCCCTCGAGCCACAACTACTGAAGCCTGTGTGGTCTAGGGCCCGTGCTCCACAACAAGAGAAGCCACTGCAATGAGAAGCCCACACACCACAACAATGAGTAGCCCCCGCTCGCCACAACTAGAGAAAGCCCGTGCACAGCAACGAAGACCCAACACAGACAAATAAAAAAAAAAAGAAAAAGAAAAGAATTTGGGTCTGGCTATTTTAAAGCTGCCGTATTGGCCTTGAACTGTCTAAATTTATGCTTTTATATTGTTTGTTAGGACAGCCAAACTAATATATAGCAGATGACAAGAAAGCCTGTTAATTATCTAGCGGTAAGATTTTTTAGAAGTAGCTTAGGTACAAAGGACAGGTTGTAACCTATGGACCCAGTCTATGCTGTCCCTGGGAGGTGCCAGCCCTGGCTCCAAGTTGTGACCTCAACATTACTCCCTTACATTGTGGCCAACAGTAGCTGAACACTGCCCCAGTCAGAGCTCCTGGGACTGTTTCCCTCTGTGGTTTGACACAGGGCTACCAGAGCCAACTCTGGACTCCCAGATTCTTTCCTATGCCAGCTTGATTGTGTGCTGGTGTGTGGTCATAGACCCCAGTTTTGTCCTTGAGGTTCTCTCCTGGCTTCTGATAGAAACTAAGAACTGGAGACTTAGGCTTCAGAGACCACTGTCATAAATAGGGAACAACCTATCTGATCCTAAAAGTCATTGGGATGGACCACTGATTTAATGCTGTGCAGGTCTTTCTCCAGTGAGTATGGACTTTAGCCTGAGATCAGCATTCAGGAAATTCCATATACTAAAATGAAGAACTCCTTTGTTATTAGATGTCTTGAAGTTCATTTTGGGTACCATATGCAATATGTAGATTTTCTCTATACTTCAGTAATTCCAAAACTGATAAATACATTCTATTTCTGTCTCTCATCCTAGGGGGTATTTTTTTTTTTTACTTTGCTAAAATATACATAATATAAAATTTACTGTTTTAACCATTTTAAGTGTATAATTCAGTGGCAATAAGTACAATCTCATTGCTGTGCAACTATCACCACTCTCCATCTCCAGAACTTTTTACCATCCAAAACTAAAACACTGTATGCATTAAACACTAATTCCCCATTACTCCCTCCTCCCAGCCCTTGGTAACTACTATTCTACTTTCTGTCTCTATGAATTTGACTACATTATGTACCTCAAATAAATATGAAGCATGGAATCATACAATATTTGTGTCTGGCTTATTTCAAGGTTCATCCATGTTGTAACGTGTTTCAGAATTTCATTCCTTTTTAAAGCTGAATAATATTCAATTGTATGTATAGACCGCATTTTGTTTATCCACTCATCTGTCGATGGATACTCGGGTCGCTTCCATCTTTTGGCTATATAGAACATTTTGCTGCTATGAACATGGGTATACAAATATCTGTCCAAGGCCCTACTTTCAATTCTTTTGGGTATGTACTTAGAATTGCTGGATTATGTAGTAATTCTATGTTTAATTTTTTGAGGAACCACCATACTGTTTTCCATAGCAGCTGTACCATTTCATATTCCCATGAGCAATGCACAAGATTCCAATTTCTCCACACCCATGTCAACATTTGTAATTTTCTGGGTTTTGTTTTTTGTTTTTTTTTTAAGATAGCCATCCTAATGGGTGTGAAGTTGTTTCTGCTTCTCATTTTTAATGTTCTCAATCAATTCGAATTTTAGAAACCCCTACCAGTCAGTACTGGCTTGAATCTTCTAGCCCTGACTATTCCTTGATTAAAGTGGTTAATGAAGGAGTTCAATGTGGGATGGACTTTCAATTCACCTTGTCTATTGGTTTTCACACCTCAGTCCCCAAAGCTGCTTCCCCAATTTTCAGCCAAACTACTTCTGACTCTGATTTCATCAGTTTTACATAGTGCACGTCTGAGTAAGATTTCATTTGATAAAAGAGTTCCTCAACTTAAAAGGAAAGTTTGAAAACTTAGTCCATACTCTCTAAGGTTCAGAGAAATTAAATGACTTTCCCAAGGTCTCTCAGCTCAGTAGTAGCAGAGGTAGAATTTGAACAGAAATACATCCAGTGAGACAGAAGGTATGCCTAGTAGCAGTCATGTTATGCATGCATTCCATCAATCATTTGTTTATTTCTTCAAGGTATACTGCACACACAATCTAACTGCAAAAAAGAATTCACTTACAAAATAGACTAGACCAGTTGGTCTTTATCTCTCACCAATTTAACAAGGAGAATGGTAAGGAATCAGAGGAATGAGACATGCTCTTGTAAATACCATCATCTTAGCAGGCACGAAATCAACGATAACAAATGAAACTTCACCCCTTCCTGCCAAGAGAACTACACATGAGAGATATACAGTTATATTGAAAAAGTATGGGGATAGTCAGTTCTAGAGAAAAAAAGTATCATAAGTCAAAATTTAATAATAGTTATGAAATTAAGAATATTTCTGTGAAATTCACTACATTAATACTATAGGAAATATAAAGTTGAAGAAGGTGGCATAGGCCATGCGTGTAAGAAGCTTATAGTATAATAAGGGGCTAAGACAAGTATACAAATAGCCATGAGCAGGGTAACAAATACTTGAGAGACCAGGGTAAAGTAAGAGTGCGGAAAGTTTTTTTAGAGACTTAAAGGAGAGAAAGATCCTATTCGGTCGGGGAAATCCAGAAAGGCTTTGGAAGGGACTTTGTAAAAGAGAGTCTAAAGGAAGAGTACGATGGCATATTCTCTGAAAGGTGGACAGGTGTTGAACAAGTAGATCTTGGGGAATCAAAGGAGGGAAGGCCAATTCCAGTTAAGAGAAAATATGTGCAAAGACACGAATGGGGATGATTACAAGTTGTATCCCAGAATAGGCCGTGTATGGGCTAGTTGCAGAATAAAGGCCTAAACAGATGAGTTACGAACATGTGGTGGAAATACCCTAGAATGGCAAGCTGTAATGCATATGCTCTCCTAACCAGAAAAGTAAAGGAGAGTCATCAAAGGCTTCTTAGATCACTGGGTCTTCGAGGCAGGTTATATAGACAAGCAGTTTTTCTGGGCCTCATGTTGTCATATGTGCTTCATGCCCTACTACAAGCACTGCTTTAGGAAGATTTATCTTACAGATTGTTCCCTCCCCTCAAATGTCACGGAGGACAGAGGCAAAGATTATGTCCGTATAAGTGAAGCAACTTGGTGCAACAAACTTAACTATTTGTGCATTGGATTAGGTACAGAGCTGATTGGAGCTAGGGTAACATTTAAGAATATTACAATAGTCCAGGTAAAAAGTAAAGGCCCATAACTAGGACCTAGTCATGAGATTGGACACACACTAGAAAAGCACACTGGAAGAAGAAGGTAGAGGACTTTGCAAACAACCAGTGGAGGAGGGGAAAGGGAAGGCACAGATAAGCAGGGCTGAGCTTGCAAGATTGAGTCATTGGGAGAATGATGGTACTACCCACCCAAGTAGTATGAGCTAGGAGGAAGAGGAACCAGTTTGGAGCTGAGGTTGTGGAAGATTATGGGTTTGGTTGGGGATCTGTTGATTTTATAGCACCAGTGGCCATCTGGGTCAAGTTATCCAGAAGGAAGTTGGATTAGGTTGAAGGTAGGGCTACATTCCTAGGGACTGTGCAGAGTGGTGAGAGTTATTTAACCTACGGAGGAAGAGGTCTGCAGGAAGCCCTTTGAGGATGAAACCTTGAGAGATGGCCAGGTTTAAGAATAACCTGGAGAAGAAGAGACATGGATAGGTTGATTAGAGGGGTAAGAAGGAGGTCCTATTGTGCTTTGGAAAACCAGGGGTGTCAGATAACTTATACTGGTTCCTCCAGATTCCCTCTCCACCCTCCTACATTCTGCTCCCAGTCCCAAGGCTGCCCCATACGGCCCCATGCCTTTGGCTTTAGGATGTGTTTAGTCAAAGGGGAGTCTGGCAGGAGGTCCAAAGGTGGGAGAAGAGGGAGAGGTTGCCTTGGACTGTCCGCGACCTACCCTCTTCATTGCTCCTCTCACAGCACCTGCTGTGCATGACTCTCCTTCCAGGCTCCATAACTTTCCCTCACCTTTTCCCTTTGGGCCCAGGAGTGATAATTGCTCAGCTGCTGTCATTTCTGAATTCATCCTATCCCTTTTGGTTCCCTTAATTCTGCCTGCAGTTTTGTAATTAGCCTCTTATAAACCTTTCTAAGTTATCCTAATTTGAGTGTTCTACTTGTTTCCTGTTGGGACCCCAACTGATAAACTCACTAAACCCTAATATTAACAGTAAGTGGTAACTGGGAGTATGGGAACACTGACGTTGTCCTATCCCCAATCAATAGCTCCTTTTATTTATTGGTATCGACAGCAAAATTTAATTTCAGCCATAACTCTACCTAGTTCTTGGACTCCTACCCAGAAACTGCTGTGCAACTGACTAAAAGGGACCTTTGCTAATCAAACTAAGCTGTACCTAGGCCTAAAACCAAGAGCATACTTTTTGATAAAGTTGCTGATTGATGCATGAAGAAAGTGAGCACACACATAGATAAAAGGGAAGCATCCCTGATTCTTGATCCTCTCAAGACGGACACAAGTAGCACTCTTGGTCAAACGCTCTAGGGTACGAAAGAATCCCTGCTCCTTGACTGTCTGGAACACTTAGTGCTCTCCAGGAGGTCAGTGGCCAGCCATTGTTGGTAGCCCAGCTTCTCATAAGCTTCTCGATGTTCAGAGCTATATCTTAAACACTGATTTTTCTAGCTTAAAGAAGACTTCCAGGACAAGAATATCCAATTCCAGATATCTACCTGAATCAACGCTGGGGGCCCATAGAAACAGATGAACTCAGGATTTAGTGGTCTTTTTAAATGGAAAAATTTTAGTGATGAGAATTATAGAGGGAAACTTCAGTAATTCTGGGGTAAGCAGGGGTATAGGGAGACTGGTTACGTTTCTGAAATTTTATCTGTCCTTGCAGTGTAGAAGAATATCTAAGGACGGGGTTTTGTGGCCTTGTCAGGGATAAGCTTTAGATTTCCAGAGAGAAAGAAGGAGTCTGATAGTTAGGAAACATGTCCAAGTGGTGAATAAGCACAGGCACTGAGGTTTCTGAGAGCAGCTGGATTTGGGGATGTGAGGCTGTTCCTTCTCTCCTTATCATAGTGAGGCAGGCTTCTGTGGTCTCTGAGTATTTCTTTGGTCACTGGTCAGACCTGTAGTAGAGCTTCTCTGATCCTGAGAATACGTTGAGAATGAGCTGTCCCAAGAAGCTTCCAAACCCTTCAGCATTGCAAAGCCAGGGCTGGCAGATTTCTGATAAGTGATGGGCCCTGCTTTTAGGATTCTGCAGCAAGAGTCATAGGGCTGGCAGATGCTGCTAAAAAAGCAAGCACATTCAATTCAAGGCAGTGCTTCTAGCATTTGGAAGCTGAAGTAGGGATATACTCTGGGGTGGAGCCAAGGCTTAGTGTTGGAGGTGAGAGTGATTTGATAGGTAAAGCTTGACCTCTCCCTTTAAAGAGGAAACTACCAGGAAAGGATTCTAAACCATGAAATAGGTTGCTGAGGTTACTTTTACTATCCCCAAACTCCTGGCTCATATAATTATTGGTATTCCCAGTCTCACCTTGTGGCTCTAGGAATGGACATGCTATCCTATGATGGGTATGTTTTAAGTTATTTCTTCTATGCATTTAGTATCTTCAACAGAAATGCACCAAGATTTGCTATCAATAATCCTGATCAGGATAGTCAAAAGCTGTGGCCACGTGACTTCCTATTTTTCTTCTACTTTGATTTGTATCTGCTATGCTCTCTGAGATAACAGCGACGCTATTTATTACTGCTAATTCCTTGACACAGACTCCTCCTGAAGGATATGTATCATTTCCCTTTTCTCCCAAACGTACATGCATGCTAAAAATCTTTCTTGTAAGTGGGGAAATTTATAGCAAACAAAAAAATGCTGCATCAGTTCAAGTTTGCAGAGAAATCCTGAAGGGACTGAAGCAAGAACATTTAGCTGAGCTGAACGACAACAACACGAGGCTAATTCTGGGGAAGAAGAAGGGAAGGCGTGATTAGGAAAATGTAGACTGCAGTAAATGGACAGTCTCAAAACGACATAAATGCGAGGTCAAATTCATTTTTAATAATCAAATGTCTCATTCGCATTGTATTATTAAGTCCCGGACAGTGTTCTGAGTACCCGGCATGCACCATCTGATTTCATCCTCACATCAACACTCTGAGGTATAGGTACTGTCTTTATTCACATTTGCTACATGGTGAAACGGCCCCAATCACGCTGTTTGTAAATAGTAGATCAAGTGTTCAATTTAGGTCTGTCTGACTCCAAAGCTCATTTATTTCATTTCTCCAACAAATATTAATCGGGCACCCACTCTGAGCTAGGCATTGGTAAACAGGCAGACAGTGGTGTCTGTCCACATGATGTTTATAATCTAGTAAGGGTGACAGACATTAGTCATGTATTTAAGTTATAATTGTGATACACATCACAAACAAATGGTAGAAAGTATTCTCTAATATATTCCAAACTCCTAGACAGTGCCTGTGTCAGATGCCCAATAAATACTGGTAGAACGGTGGACTAAGCCCAGTCTCGGTAGAGGACCGGGAAGGCTGTTCTGTGACAGTAGTCTTGCACTTTGAGACGTGAAGGATGATTTGGGCTGATTGGGAAGGTAGGAGAAGCTTGCCAGAAAGGAGTGTTTTAAGCTGCCTGCCTAAAATACTTGATTCAGGGAAGAACCTTGGTAGTTAGAAGGGATACAGTGTAGACCAATGAAGTTGAAACACGGAGGGTGGGTGAGTGTGAGTGAGGGTGGCCGAAGACAAAGTATAAAGGTAAGAAGGGTAAGAGATCCAGGGTCATGTGGGCCATATAAAGATTTTTATCTTGATTCTAAGAGCAACAGGTTGCCAGGGAAGTGTTTTAATAAGGAGAATTTCCATTAATCATTCTTGCTGGAGTGTGGTCAGTGGGGAGGTCAGTTAGGAATCTATCACCAGGGTCCAGATTTGGACTAGGATGACGGCAGTGGAGAAGAGGAGTGAGCAGATACTCAGGAGGCAACTGCCTGGATATGAAGGGTAAGAGCGGGGGGAGTGTGTCCGTCAAGGTGCCTGTATTGTTATCTATTGCTGCAAGACAAATTACCCCAAGCAACAAGTATTTATTATCTCACACAGTGTCTTGAAAGGTCAAAGACCTGGGAACAGGTTACCTGGGTGGTGCTGGCTCAGTCTCTCATGAGGTGGAAGTGAAGCTGTTGGCAGGTGTTACAACCCTCTAAGTTTTCACTGGGGCTAGAGGATCTGCTTTCAACCTCACTCATATGGTTGATTGCAGGCTTCAGTTCCTTACCATGTGGGGAATGCCTGATGTGAAGGCTGGCTCACCCCAAAGTGAATGATCAGAGTGAGAGAGAGAGCACGAAGTGACCAAGAAGGAAGCTTCGGTGTTTTTCATGACCAGTCTCAGAAGTGACACACCATCACTTCTGCCATCTTCTACGGTGAACACAGACCAAGTCTGATACACATGGGAGGGGACTACACAAGGATGTGAACACCAGGAGGCAGAGCCTGTTAGGGGCCACCTTGGAGGCTGGTTACCACTGTGCCCATTGTGAAAAAGACGGCACTTTCAAATCACGATAATTTGAGAAGTGTGTGTGTATGAATAGTTGGTTTGTTTTCTCACAAAAGGACAATTTACAAAGAAGTGTGAAGGGAAGAGGAAGACCACAAAGGAATAATGCAAGTGTCCAGAGCTGGAAGCAGTAGAAGCTGTTATCAACCCTACGCCCAAAGGACAAGAGGACAGAGAGGTTGCCGGAACTCTGAAGGTGAGAGAATCATAGACAGCACAGCCACCTTGAGAGGAGCTGTGTTATTCTGTCGGGCGACACAGCCAGCCCTGTGCTAGGACATGCGGGTGCTGACTGCTACCATCATTTCCCAGCTCTGCATTCCATGATGTCACATGGGTAGCCACATAGTTTGTGGTTGGTAATATACCAGAGAAATCAAGGAATACTATGAACCAGAACTTTTTTTTTCTCAGAGTGCCAGTTAAACATTTACAAGCACACTGCTGGACACAGCCAGCCTGAGGCAACCTCTTAAACTGGGAGCTAAGAAAACTCACACCCAGACTTCACTCTCAAGATAGGAGGAGGACCAAGCTAAACCAGGAAGTCAGAGAACACAGGAGCCTCTTGACTCAATTAATTACTCTTGACTTGTTCTATTCAAACCATCCCCTAGGGGAGACAGCAAGTGGAGGAGGCTGGAGAGTGGATCCAGCACAGCATGACTGCCTATCAAGCATAATTCTCCATTTTCTTCTGTGAGCAATTGTGTGGACAGGGATTCATTACCGGAAATAGAAAAAAGACAAAGTATCATTTGTCACAATCTCTCTTAATTATATTGATACTTTCCTACCCATCCGCATCACTCCTGACACCCCACATCAGTGGATGTAACTTTGGCAGACAATTGAAAACTGGATTTTCTAATAGGGTCAGAGAATTAGTTCATTTTTGTTTGTTTGTTTAATGGTTTTAAACAATAGAAACTGACTCTAAGTTGAGAGAATTTATTAGAAAGATGTGAGAGAGTTCAGATAATCGAAAAAGGACCTGAAGAAGGAGGCTCACAAAGGGCAGAAACGGGGCAGCCCTGGCTCATCCAAGTGGTAGGAAGTAATCAATGATCTCAGAGCAACTCTGATGAAAAAAATCGTACTCCAATATTTTTTTCTTTCATAACAGTCCTTGAGTTGCTCTGCTCAGGATGCACTGTCCTAAAGTAAAATTTGATTGGCTAGCTTCAGTCAATGACTACTCTTGGCAAGGAGAAGGTAAGGGCTCCTTGACTGACAGTCTCACTGGCACTGTCACAATAAAGAGCCAGTAATTCCCAACAAGGAATTCATAATTAAGAACAGGAGGGTGGCGCCTTCCCTGGTGGCGCAGTGGTTGAGAGTCCGCCTGCCGATGCAGGGGACACGGGTTCGTGCCCCGGTCCGGGAAGATCCCACATGCCGCGGGGCAGCTGGGCCCGTGAGCCATGGCCGCTGGGCCTGCGCGTCCGGAGCCTGTGCTCCGCAACGGGAGAGGCCACAACAGTGAGAGGCCCGCGTACCGCAAAAAAAAAAAAAAAGAACAGGAGGGTGAATGGGTGCTGGGAAGTCAAGGAGTAGCAAATGTCCACTACAGTCTGGGATATGACTTTGCTCCAGGGTCCCTCCTCAGCTGGGGGGTAGGGAGAGGAGCAACTTTCAGATCATTAATGTGGAAGTAACTGGAAATTAACTGTTCTTTAAAAATCTCTAGGCATAATGTCAATAGTTCAGAAATGTCACACGATTTGACATTAAGAGATATAACAGTGAAAAATCACAGGTAGGTAAATAAATGTTGGAACTAAAAAGGAAATTGAAAGTAAAACTGAAATGTGATGTTTTAAAAGGAAGATCAGCTGTCAAATATCAAAAGCGATGAACAGATAAGTGTACTCCTGTTGCATTCTGAGGAAGCGGGAAATCTAGAGTTAAAATGGAGACAGGCTGTTAAGTATTCTGAGTTTATAGGAGGCTTTCGGTATACCTCAGTTGTAAATATGAGTTAAGAGAAAATGCTTGACCTCTAAGACCATGGGTCCCCTGACCTGCCTTGCTCTGCTCTCTTCACTCATCTCAGCTCTGCTGTCCTTCAAGATCCAGCACACGTCTTCTCCTCTCAGAGCTTCCTGGACCAGCTCAATCCAGCCCAATCCACAATTACATAGCACTTCTTGTCCCATGCACTCGACACTTCCTAAATGTCCCCACAGGTTGTTCCACGTCTTCTCATGTGTGCATACTGATCCTCGTCGAGTCCAAGAATGTTAGAGGCAGGATCTCTGTCTTATGATGATAAGTTGGCTGTTGGAGGTTTAATGTAACTTTTTAAAACCTTGGTCTTTCTTCCCTTTTCTAGTTCCTCTTCTGCCTTCACCCTGAAAGTGTGGACCTTAGCAAGGATTTGCCCCTTTTCCCTCTTTTTTTCCTACCTCACAATGTTCTTGAGAGAATTAATGAAAGTATACATGTAAAAGCCCAGCCTTACACTCACGTTTTAATTTTTTTTAATTATTTTATTTATTCTTGGCTGCGTTGGGTCTTCGTTGCTGCGTGCGGGCTTTCTCTAATTGCGGTGAGCAGGGGCTACTCTTCGATGCAGTGCGCGGGCTTCTCACTGCGGTGGCTTCTCTTGTTGTGGAGCACGGGCTCTAGGCCTGCGGGCTTCAGTAGTTGTGGCACACGGGCTCTAGAGTGCAGGCTCAGTAGTTGTGGCACACGGCTTAATTGCTCCGCTGCATGTGGGATCTTCCCCAGACCAGGGCTCGAACCCGTGTCCCCTGCATTGGCAGGTGGATTCTTAACCACTGCACCACCAGGGAAGCCCATGTTTTAATTTTGTTTGCTGCTCTTTCCCCTATCAGTCGAAATCTCCTAAGCACATAGAAGATCCTTGTAATGGTTACTAATATTGATAGTATTTGTCTCATGCTACATGTCCTTCCTCAATGATTTCATCAGCTTGGGCAGTTTCAGCTGTGATCTTTAAGGGGCTGACTCGCTATCGGCCTTCAGCTGATTCATCTTCCAAGCCCCAGGCCCATATTTCCAACTGGATGTTCAGTAAACATCTCAGACTCAACACGTCCCTAATTGAACTCATCCTTCCATACAAACCCAATCTTTCTTTTTACTGAAGTACTTGATCACAAGTCATAACTGGGCTAGACATGACTGACTTCTGCTTGAAATATCAGAAACGTTCTAGCTCCAGTGTCTCCCTTTTACTCTCTCCCACCCGATATCCTGGTGGAGAGTACCTTGTGTTCCTAATGTTCCGTTTTCTCTGCAGCCCCATGTCTGACCTTCGTTAAATCTCAATCCAAACCTTACAAGAATGTCCTGGCTCGTCCCTCTATCTCTGCCCCTCCACCTCAGCCCATACTCTACACTGTCATTAGAGTTCTTTGCCTAAAACACTGATAAGATCTTATCAAACCTCAGCACATACACCAAAGCGTTCCGTCTCCCTCCTGTTGCATGTAAGTAATCGAAGCTGTCCACAGTTTGCTGCCCCTGCCAAACTTCCTGGCCTCATCTCCACTACAGTCCTCGAACCCAATGCCACCCCCTATTTCACATTCCCAGAATATGCCTTCCACTGTCACACAGTTAACTCTGTTGAAGTTGTTTCCATTGTCTTGAATAGTCTTGCCAACCAGGATCTTCCTAATCTTACCTCTTCCAAACCACTTTACTAATTTTAACAGTTAAAATCAATTGTTCTTTTAAGTAATAACTACCCATTATAGAGAACTGAATGTGTGCCAGGGGATTTAATACACTATCACAGGAATCCTCACCACAACTGAGCAAGTTGGGTATCACAGGCCCATGATCCCTTATCCACAGCCATGAGGCCAACCGTGCTTCCAAATTCAGAATGCCTAGTGTTTTAGAAAGGCAATAGAGTGGACTGCATGTCAGTTTCCCCATCTGTAAAGTGTGGAGGATAAGGATTAGCACTCTACCTACCTCATGGGGTTGTTGTGAAACAGGCAATGTGTTCCATCAGAGAAGCGCCTAGGGAAATGCCCTTATTTATTGCATTTTGGGAATCTATTCATTTGTTATAAATAACTCATAATACCTATGACAATACCTTACTAGGAAATAAATGGATCTAACTTTTACAGTTACCTAATTTGTATCAGTAATTTGAATGGTGATAAGAGCCTCATTTTGTTGGATGTCGCATTTCTTCTTCTTTACTTTCACTTCCTTCTGCTGCATACCACACCCTTTACTCAGCATTTCCTACCAAAATTACAGGCCTCCTGCCACTGCAGTAAATACGCTTTCTTCAGTTTTCTGGCCTATTTTACTATTAATTCATAATTTTCTCTGGCAAAAAAAAATTATGCTAGATAATTATTCCCTTCCTCTCTGACAAAAATACTTCATGACAATTATGCTAATTTTTAGGAAGTCAATGAAAACACCACTAACAAACTCATCTCCTTTACTCTTCCATGGGCCTGGATGCAGACGAGATTAAGAATGTAGTGCTGGCAGGGACCTTGAAGATCAGCTGGTACACATGACCTGGGTTTATTGAATTATCTACAGGCAGACCTCGTTTTATGCTTCACTTTACAGCACTTTTCAGATTTTGCGCTTTTTACAAATTGAGGGTTTGTGGCAACCCTGCACCAAGCAAGTCTCTCAGCACCATTTTTCGAACAGCATTTGCTCACTTCATGTATCTGTGTCATATTTTGGTAATTTTCACAGTATTTCAAATTTTTTCATTATTATTATATTCGTGTGGTTATCTGTGATCCTTTGATGTTACTACTGTAATTGTTTGGGGGCACCATGAACTGCACCCATGTAAGATGACAAACAATTGATAAATGTGTGTGTTCTGATTGCTCCTGTGATGGGTCAGTCCCCCGCCCCTTTTCTCAAGGCCTCTCTATTCCTTGAGACACAACATTTTTGAAATTAGACCAATTAATGACCTACAGTGGCCTCTAAGTGTTCAAGTGAAAGGAAGAGTTACATGTCTCTCACTTTAAATCAGAAGCTAGAAATGATTAATCTTAGCAAGGAAGGCATGTCAAAAGCTGAGATAGGGCAAAAGTTGTGCCTCTTGCCCCAACAGTTAGCCAGGTCGTGAATGCAAAGGGAAAGTTCTTTTTCTTTAAAAAAAAATTTATTTATTTATTATTTGGTTGTGTGGGGTCTTAGTTGTGGCAGGCGGGCTCCTTAGCCGGGGCTCGCCAGCTCTTTAGTTGCAGCACACAAGCTCCTTAGTTGTGGCATGCAAACTCTTAGTCGCGGCATGAATGTGGGATCTAGTTCCCGGACCAGGGATCGAACCCGGGCCCCCTGCATTGGAAGCACAGAGCTTTATCCACTGCGCCACTAGGGAAGTCCCGGGAAATTGTTGTTTTTTTAAATAAGTTTATTTATTTATCTTTGGCTGCATTGGGTCTTCGTTGCTTCGCGAGGGCTTTCTCTAGTTGTGGTGAGCGGGGGCTACTCTTTGTTGCGGTGCGCAGGCCTGTCATGGTGGTGGCTTCTCTTCTTGTGGAGCACGGGCTCTAGGCGCGCGGGATTCAGTAGCTGTGGCACTGAATTAATATTTGCCTTAAGAATAAGTAAATGGGGACTTCCCTGATGGCGCAGTGGTTAAGACTCTGCCCTCCCAATACAGGGGGCCCAAGTTCGAACCCTGGCCAGAGGAGCAGCAAATGAAGCTTCACTCGCTCACCCACTGCTCACCTTCTGCTGTGTGGCACGGTTCCTAACAGGCCACGGACCGGTACCAGTCCTCGGCCTGGGGGTTGGGGACCCCTGCTTCAAAGGACAGGCTGACTTTCTCATTAGAGGCTAATGCAGCTGGTGACTTTAAGTTGAAGCCGTCACTCATTTACTATTTTGAAAATCTTAGAACCCTTAAGAATTATGCTAAATTGACTCTGCCTGTGCTCTATAAATGGAACAATAAAGCCTGGATGACAGCCTAAGTATATATTATAATTTTTATGTGATAAAACAGAATTTTAATTTACTTTTCTAATTGTTCATTTCATTGTATAGAAATACAATTGACATTAGTATATTAACCATATCTCTTAAGTACTCATGAGTTCGAGTAGCTTTTTCTTGGTTCTCCAAGGGTTTTCTATGAATACAATCATTTCATTTGTGCATAAAGCCAAATTTATTCCTTCATTTTCAATATGAATGCCTTGTTTCTTTCTTTCCTTCTATCCCCACTGTCCTGCCAGGATCTCCAATACAATGTTCAATAGAAATGGTGAGAATGGACAAGCATGTTGTACTCTCAATGTTAGGGAGAAAACATTCAGTCTTTCAACATTAAGGATGATCTTAGCCTAAGATTGCTTTGTTTTGTTTTGTTCTGGTTTTTTGTTTGTTTGTTTTCGGTAAGCGGGCCTCTCACTGTTGTGGCCTCTCCCGTTGCGGAGCACAGGCTCCGGACGCGCAGGCTCAGCGGCCATGGCTCACGGGCCCAGCTGCCCCGCGGCATGTGGGATCTTCCCGGACCGGGGCACGAACCCGTGTCCCCCGCATCGGCAGGTGGACTCAACCACTGCGCCACCAGGGAAGCCCTGTTTTGTTCTGTTTTGAAGATGTCCTTTATTAAGTCGAGAGAGTTATCTTTTACTCCAAGTTTATGGAGAGATTTTATCATGAAAAACTTTACTCTTGATATGTTGAGTTACATTGATTGATGTTAACCAAACTTGCATTCCTAGGCACCTCACCCCCCCCCCACCCAGCCCCTTGCTCATGATGTATTATCCTTTTTTTCTTGAATTTGATTTGCCAAAATTTTGTTAAGGATTTTTGCATCAATGTGCATGAGGAATATAGGTCTGTAGTTTTCCTTTGTCTATGCTTGGTTTTGGTGTCCAGTTAGTACTGACCTCATAAAATGAGTAGGAAATCATTCCTTCCTTCTGTCTTTCCTGAAAGTTTTTGAAAATTTGTATCATTTCTTCCTTAGGTACCTGATAAAATTCATCAGTGAAGCCATCTGAGCCTGGAGTCTTCTTTGAGGCAAGATTTTAAATTACTAATTCAATTTCATTAGTAGGTATAAGATTATTTGGGTTTTCTATTTCTTGGTATGTCAGTTTGACAAATTGTGTCTTTCAAGGAAGTTGTCTATTTCATCTAAGTTGTCAGAGTTATAGACATAACTTGTTTATGGTATCTCCTTATTATCCTTTAATGTCTGTAGGCTCTATAGTTGTGCTCCCTCTTTTATTCCTAATGTTGTTAATTTGTACTTTCTCTTTTTTTCATTGATCTTTTCAAAGAACCAACTTTTGGTTTCTTTAATATTCTGTTTTTGTCTTTTTGTTTCATTGATTTCTTTTGTTTTTATTTACTTATTTGGTTGTGTTGGGTCTTAGTTGTGGCATGCAAGATCTTTTTTTAGTTGTGGCATGTGGGATCTAGTTCCCTGACCAGGGACTGAACCCGGGCCCGCTGCATTGGGAGTGCGGAGTCTTAGCCACTGGACCATCAGGGAGGTCCCTGTTTCACTGATTTCTGCTCTTATCTTTCTTCTTTCTTACTGCTCGCTGTGAGTTTAATTTGCTCTTATTTTTCTAATTTCTTTTTCCCCAGCTTTATTGAGATAATTGACATATTGTGTAAATTTAAGGTGTACACTATTTTAAAATTTTTGTAAGGTCAAAACTTTAATCATTGATTTTAGACCTTTTTTTTCACACTAAGTACCGCTTAGCAAACAAATTTTGATATGTTGAGTTTTCATTATCATTCAGTTCAAAATATTTTCTTTCCCTTGTGATTTCTTCAATTCATGGGTTATTCAGACATGTGCTGTTTAATTTCAGAATATTTGGTGCTTTTCTATTTATCTTATTGTTATTATTTCTCATTAAAGTCCATTGTGATCAGAGAATACACTCTGTAAGATTTCAGTCTTTTGATATTTATTGAGACTTCTTTCATGGCCCAGGATATGATCTGTCTTGGTGAACATTCCTTATGTACTTGAAAAGAATGTATAGTTTGAAGCTGTTGGGTGCATTATTCTATAAATGTCAGCTAAGTTATAGTGCTGATAATGTTTTTCAAATCTTCTATAGACTTACTGATTTTTTTGGTTGTTTGTTCTATTCATAACTAGAAAAGTACTTAAAAATCTATAACTATGTTTATGTATTTGTCTATTTCTCTCTTCAGTTCTATCAGTTTTTGCTCCATGTATTTTGAAGTTCTACATATATAATTATTATGTACCACAGCAATGCATAATATCATTATGAAATGTCCCTCTCTGCCTCTTATAAAACTTTTCTTGAATCCTGTTATTTTATTAATATAGCCACACTAGCTGTCTTATGTTTATGGTTTGCCAGATATACATTTTTTGATACTTTTATTCTAGTTATGTTTCTGTATTTAAAGTGTCTCTCTTACAGACAGCAAATAATTGGGTCTTGCTTTTCAAATTCAGTCTGACAGTCTAACAATCTCTGCTTTTTCCCCCCTTTATAAATTCATTTATTTATTTATTTTTGGCTGTGTTGGGTCTTTGTTGCTGTCAGCAGGCTTTCTCTAGTTGTGGCGAGCGGGGGCTACTCTTTGTTGCGGTGCGTGGGCTTCTCATTGCGGTGGCTTCTCTTGTTGTGGAGCATGGGCTCTAGGCGCGCAGGCTTCAGTAGATGTGGCACGCGAGCTCAGTAGTTGTAGCTTGCAGGCTCTAGAGCTCAGGCTCATTAGCTGTCATGCATGGGCTTAGTTGCTCCGCGGCATGTGGGATCTTCCTGGACCAGGGCTCAAACCCGTATCCCCTACATTGGCAGGCAGATTCTTAACCACTGTGCCACCAGGGAAGACCTCAATCTCTGCTTTTTTATCAGAGTGCTTAATCAATTTAAATTTAACATAATTGTTGATCTCATTGGATTTTGGTCTACCATTCTGCTATTTGCTTTCTATTTGTCTCAACCAGTTTTTCCCCCGTTCTTTCTTTCCTACCTTCTTTTATGTTAGACAACTATTTATAGCATTTCAATTCCTGTATTGACGTTTTAGCTATATCTCTTGGTATTATTTCTTTAGTGACTGCCCCAGGGATTACAATCCTTAATTTATCAATCTACTTAGAGTAAATGTTAATTTAACTCTAATGTTAAAATATAGGAGCCCTGTATATAAATACATATAAATGTATGTATAAATCTGTATATATTATAAAATAAAAAATACTAGATCCCAAGTTTCTGCTCTACCATTCCTGACATGTGGTGAGATATTCAGTTTTAAACCACATCTTAAAAGTTATAATCTAATGCAACTGAATCAAAACCAATTTCTCATTGGGCTAAGAAATTTTCTAAAACATTTTGGGTCTTTATGCCATTATAAAAGCTAGTAATGGGGAAACCTGAGCAGCTCACTGAGATTTATTCCTTGACTCTAAAACAAACATATGGAACATTTAAATTTCAAAGCTGAAAGTGAATTAAAAATCCTCTAGTCAGTGCCCTCATTTTATACACAAAGAAGTGAAATCCAGACATCTAAGATCACATACTTTCATTTATTTAGTAATTTACTTTAAAATAGACATTCATTCTAAAAACATCTATTAATTGCTTACCTGTTACTGAAGATATAAAAGTGAGTAAACACTAAAAATCACTGAATTGCATACTTAAAATAAGTGAGTATTATGGTACGTAAATTATACCTCAGATGAAACTGTTTTAAAAAATGAGTAAAATTCAGTCTTTTCCATGAAGGAGATCAGTGTAATGACAGTCTAAGACAAGCGTAAACAATTACAATAAAATGTGAACATGCTATAACAGACCCATATGCTTAATCACTTTACACTGGAGTACCCTGGGGCTCAGGCTTGGACCTCTTGTGTCTTCTTTCTACAACCACTCCCTTCATGATCTCATTCAGTGTCATGGCTTTACATATCAATTGTATGTTGATAACTCCAAAATTTTTATCTACAGCAGATGTCTCTCCCAAACTCCAGACTCACTAATCCAGCTGACAACCTGACATTTCTCCTTTAAAGGCTAATTATCATCTCAAACTGAACATGTCCAAAACCAAATTTCTTATCTTCACTTCCATATCTGTTCCTTCCACAACCTTCATCATTGCAATTCATTAGTATCTTCATCTTTCCAATTGCTCAGGCCAAAAACCTTGGAGTCATCTTTGGCTTCTTTCTCTCGTTTACTCCATCATGAAATCCTACTGACTCTACCCTCAGCATGTATCCAGAATTTGACCACTTCTCACCATCTCCCCTGGCGCAAACTTGGTCCAAGCCACAATCTTCTCGTCTGGATTATTGCCTTGTCCTCCAACAGTCCATATTCCATAAATCAGAGGAAGCTTTAAAATTGTGACTCAGATCAAGTCAGTTTTCCAATCAAATCACCCAAAAACTTCCTATCACACTCCTAGTAAAAGCCAGAGTCCTCACAATGGCCTCCAGGACCCCATAAAATCTTGGCCCCCATCTCTACCCTATTACCTTTCTGATCTAGTCTGTTCTTTCTGCTCTGTTCCATGCACATGGGCTTCCTTGCTGTTCCTCAAATATTATTGGCAAGCTCCTGCCTCAGGGCCTTTGCACTGGCTGTTCCCTCTACCTGGAGCTCTCTCCATCAGATATCCCCATTGCTCGCTCCTTCAAGTCTTTGCTCCCGTGTCCTCTCCTCACTGAAGTCTCCCTGATTACCCAATTTCAATCTGTAAACAATTTGTAGCCCCCTGCCCAAAACTCACACCCCCCACACACACTTTCTATTGCCCTTCCCACTCTGTTTTCTCCATAAGCACTTATCACTTTAAATATACTAGGTAAAATGTACTTATTTGATTCATTGTCTGTTTATCTCCATTAGCTAAAAGCCCTATGAAGGAATGTTTGTCCAAGCATCTAGAACAATAGGCATTCAATAAAATATCTGAATAAGTGAACAAAAGTACCTTAGAGTATTAGTTTCCTTCTGCAACCAGGCCAGGTTTGTCTGTTTGGGTTTTTAGGGGCAGGGGGAGGGTAACTGTAGCTAAGATGGGGGAAAAGATTGCTGGTTGTTAGGGAAGAGTTAACTGTGGAAGTGGCAGTTAAACTTAGTTGTGAAGGATGATCAGGAATTTTCCAGACCAAGAAGATGGTGAAGGGTATTCCAAGTACAAGGAACAGCACGTGCAAGAGCAGAACATTTTGCAAATTTGTGGAATGGTCATAAAAGGCCAGAGAGTTGAGTATTACACCAGGGAAGTATGGAAAAGGGAAAGTGAATTGGTGGGTCCAGAGAGGAGGCCTGAAGGGCCAGTCAGGGCCAACTGTGAAAAATGGAGGCAGATTAGACCCTAGTCTCCCAACCCCCTTTCCAATGCTGTTTCCAGGCTTCATACAGCCTCACTTTTTCAGTCTAAAAGTTATATTTCTTTAGATATTGTAGGCTGATGCCTTTACCATTCACATTTTCCTTTATAAATAAAAATGCATTCATGATGCCAGAGTGTGAGATTTAAGGTAGGTGATTATAAAAAATATGCACATTTTAAAAAGCTAAAGGGGCTTTTATTTTGAAATAGATTATACATTGATTGCTTAGATGCAAAGGACTGAATAATCAAAACTTCCAGAGAAATGACAGCTGGTGCCTAGTGCAAGCCTTAGAGATCTAACCCTGTAGGAAAAAAGTGCCTACGATACAGCACACAGAGGGCTGTGGAAACAGATGTAAGTTTGGGGGGATTGAAAAATATGCTCCGAATTTTTTGGCGTTGGCAACTGTTAAATCGACATTGATATTATATTGACTATTGTATATTTGAATTGTTAAATTAGGAATGAAAAGTAGGAAATTGTGTGCAGTAAACTGATCATGGACTATAATATCAGCTTCTTATTCTTTTTTTCTTTAACATCTTTATTGGAGTATAATTGCTTTACGATGTTGTGTTAGTTTCTACAGTGTAACAAAGTGAATCAGCTATAGGTATACATATATCCCCATATACGCTCCCTCTTGAGTCTCCCTCCCACCCTCCCTATCTAGGTGATCACAAGGCACTGAGCTGATCTCCCTGTGCTATGCGGCTTCTTCCCACTAGCTATCT